CATAATTACAAGACAGGTGAGATCACAGGTAACCCCCTCTTCCCCCTCCTCCCCCTCCCCCGAACTTTCCTCCTCTTCCCTCCTCCTTCCTCCCACCTATCCCTATTACCCTCCTCAACCCCCCCCCCCTCGAGCGAAAGCAAGCTGCCCAACTGACAATCAGCGGTCGACACGTGCGCCACGCCCCTTGGTCAACACCTGTCTGGTAACTGGGTCGCACGTGGCAGTCAGGAGAAGGGGGGGGGCGGGGGTTTAGTTGAGTAACGACCCATTACAGAACGACTTTGTCCCTTTCGTCGACGGCAAAGGCGCTTGAATTAATTAGATAGGCCTACGTGGATTACGAGTGCGCGGGGGGGGGGTGAATTATGGTAGTCGGGGAATACGAATTTGTTTTGGTTACGGAATGGGTTTTCATTTAATTTCATTTCGTTTTCTTTGTAAAATAAAAAGAACATGCGTTTTGTTATTTATTCTCTATAATCCTGAAACATGCATTTTTATTCTCTATAATCCTATCTTTTTAGTCTTTGCGAATGGAATAACAGTTAAAAAAAAAAAAAAATAAAAAAAAAACATGCGAGAACCCTATTGACCAACATTCACTCAACAAAAAAAATATACATACTAAAAAAAATGACCTATGCCCCCCCCCCCTCTCACCTCCCTCCCGTCATCAGCTGGCGTGACCTTTGGACTGGACACTGACCTGGATTGACCTGACGTCCGAAGCGCGGCTGCGCCTGCCCGCCCGCAGCAATAATTTGTTTTTGCTTTCCTCTGGCTGACTCGACAACACGCACTGTTTTTGTACAGAATTCGTCGTTTTATCATGATGCAGTTGTTTATAATCCTTTCCCTACCTCCCTCCCTCCTCCTCTCCTCCTTCTCCCTTCTCTCTACCCCGTGCGTCCGCCTCTGTGGTTTATGATCTTATCTTATGTTAATCATTAATCTCTCTCTCTCTCTCTCTCTCTCTCTCTCTCTCTCTCTCTCTCTCTCTCTCTCTCTCTCTCTCTCTCTCTCTCTCTCTCTCTCTCTCTCTCTGTATATGTATAGAGAGAGATATAGATAAATAGATAGACTGATATATATATGTATATATATATATATATATATATAAATATATATATATATATATATATATACATACTTCATACATACATGCATAAATACATATACACTCACACACACACACACACACACACACACACACACACACACACACCACACACACATATATATATATATATATATATATATATATATATATATATATATATATATATATATGCGGTATGAACACATACACAACCATCTGTTCTATAGAAAACTCGATACACCCAGAACAGTTAGCTTCATTTTCCTAAAATTCTAATTGATCTAAAAACGGACATCTCGACCTTTCTATAAATCTGTTGAACATGCAATTGTTTCCTAAGACATGACTCCATAATGCAATTTTTGTCATATAATTTCTACATTTACATATCACTTCGATCTACGAAATATCTAAAGCACATGCGGAAACCAACTATATAAATACTCGCAAATTCACTTAAAAACAGACATAACAAATGACGCAACAACTTGACAAGCGTGAATCACGTCACTCTCACCTCTCTCGTGACACTCCTTAGAACCGTGTCGAGTTTCCGATCTGTTTTTTCGCGAGTTTTCTTGCTTTGTGTTGTTTTCCTCTGTTTTTCTTTATCTTAAAATCCTCTTCTGAAGGTTATTTCTTTGTGAACATATTATTTGCTTCTTCGGTTGACCTTATGCTGTCCTTTCTCTAAAGAATTTTCACTTTTCTCGTTCCTTGAAATTTGTCCTTAAGATATAGTGATTGTTTTTTGTTTTGTTTTTTTAGTTTCCTGATGATGGAATTTGTTGTGTTATTAATATATAATCATGAGATAAATTTGCTAAGTTAAAATTCAATGAGGTGAATATATAACGAGACATAAGCTCTGGTTTCTTGAAAGAAATGTGAATTTACATAAGATGCAATAGAAATATTAATCTTTCAATCTGTCTACATTCCTGCATATTCCTAAAAAAAATTCACGATTTTCTGAAAACCTAAATAAAATATGGTTCTTTAGACATCTTCAAGAATACATATATCCATCATTATTATCAACAACTATCACTATACCACTAAGGACAACTATCAACAATGCGTAACACTAAAAACACACATGTACACTCCTGCCCGGTCAAAAACTTTCTGGGTCTCTAGGCCTCGCTCGACCCCGTGAAATTATATACTGATTGGCAACTGTCCACCAGCTGATCCTCGACCCTCCCCCCCTCCTACCCTCCTACCCCCCCTTCCCTCACCTTTCCATCCCTTCGCTGCGAGGTTTGTCTCAAAGCGGTAATTACCGTTTTTTTTCTATTTCGTTGTTATTTTTATTCGTTTCTCTCTCTTTTTTTTTCTTTTCGTATTCTTCCCTTCTTTATTACAGATTCATTTCTTTAGGTAGATAGTGAAATTAATCCCACACATTAAAATATTGTAAAGGCCAAGATTTATATTACTGCTAAATCATGCTCAATTATCATTATCATGTTACTACTGACAAAGATGAAGATGTTGCAATGAAAAGAATAATCATGATAATATCAAACACACAAATAATATACCTGCACTATTCATGATAAATGATGATGACAATAATAATAATAATAATAATAACAATAATAATAATAATAATAATAATAATAATAATAATAATAATAATAATAATAATAGTAATACTACTTATAATAACAATAATAAAAGTAATAAAAATTGTAGTGGTAGTAGTAGTAATAAATGAAGAATTAAAGCAATGATGATGATGATAATAATAAAAATGATAATAATAATAATAATAAGATGAAGAAGAACAAGAAGAAGAAGACGAAGAAGAGGGATAACAGGAACAATCATATCAACGGAAACAATACCATTTTTTAAGCAACGTGAAAAAACCTAAACGAGAATTACTTATCAAAACCAGATAAGAGCATAACGATATTTATTCAGAGGTGTAAAGCAACTATTATCGGTTGAATTGGGGTTATATGCACCGCTTGGTTCACAGTCACGGGGGAGCGAGTGCATATATGACCACCGGAAACATAAAAAAAAAAAAATTACAACATAAATTTGAAAATGTTATTTAAGCTATTTTTTTTTTTTTTTTTGGCGATTATTTATAAGGTCAATTCGTGTATGTCGAATAAGCCTATAACATATGTCGGTGGACGAAGGGTTTTATTAGTTGATTAGGAATGTAATTAATCAAAATTCTGCGAAATTGTCGTTTGTAATATTGATATCTATATAATAAATAGAGATGGAGTTAAACGTAGATAAACTAATAATAGTTTAAATTCAATGTTGGTGGTGTGTAAATTATATATATATATATATATATATATATATATATATATATATATATATATATATATATATTGACTAATCAGGAAGAAGAAACATTTTATTCAACTGTTCGGTGAACCAAAAAAAAAACATATATTTACTAAACGTTGAATTTACGTCCTAAAAACACAGACGAACTGAATTTTATGAAAAAAATAACAAACCTGTAAACCTTTTCATCCCATCATGCTACACAGACACACGCAAAAACAACTCGAGTGAAAGTCTACTCTAAAAAACGCACACGATCCATTGCCGTTCACCGTGCAGTTATTCCACGGTTCCCCTTTTCAACGCGACGGGCCAGAAGAACGAGAACAAGAACGCGAGAGAACACGGGCAAGAACTTGAACAAAACGTCAAGGGAAAGACGAAGAACACGGGAGGGTGGAGTGGAGGTCGACCTTGAGATAATGTGGGAAGTGTGGCTGCTTGCATCCTTGGTGAGTAATCTGGTTTCGGCGAATACTTTCTCGCGGTCTCTCGGTCTCTTCTCTTTCTTTCTCTCTCAACCTCTACCCTCCCCTCTCTTCGCTGTCTACCCTCCCTCCTCTCTCTCCTCCTCTCGCTCTCCTTCTCCCCTTCTCCCCTCCTCTCTACTCCTCTTCCCTGTCTCTCTCCCTCTCCGTCTCCGACTCTGTCTACCCCTACCTCCCTCTCTCTCTCTCCTCTCTCTCTCTCTCTCTCTCTCTCTCTCTCTCTCTCTCTCTCTTCTCTCTCTCTCTCTCTCTCTCTCACTCACTCACTCACTCTCTCACTCACTCACTCACTCACTCACTCACTCACTCACTCACTCACTCACTCACTCACTCTCCTCTCAGTTCACGCCCTCCCTCTCCTCTTTCGTTCTCCCCCTCCCTCTCCCCTTCTCTTCCCTTTCTATCCCTCTTCCCTCATGTCATAGCAAAATCCTCACTTATATCCTCAGATTTTTATATCGATAAAGTGACACCATTGAATGAAAATGATGGTGATGGTGAAGATGAAAATGATGGTGATGGTGAAGCGTCGAAAGGATCAATCAGGATAATGATTCTGATAACAAGGGAAGTAATAGTGATTATGATGGTAATGATCATTATCATCTTTATCAGTGTAAGAATTCTAAATATTACCACTGTTACTGTTTTTAAATTAATGAATATGTATCCTTAGAAAAAAAAATAACATACCACTAAAACCTCAACATACGACCTTAAATCCTAACCGTACACCCTTAAAACCTCACTCATACAACCTTGAAACCTCAACATACCCATAAAACCTCAACATACGCCCTTATATCTCAACATACACCCTTAACAACACAACACGCCCTTAAAAGCCCAACATACACCTTTAAAACCTAAGCATACACCCTTAAAACCTCAAAATACTCCCTTAGTGTTAAAACCTCAACATACACCCTTAACAACACAACACGCTCTAAAACCTCAACATACACCCTTAAAACCCCAGTATACACCCTTAAACCCTCAACATACACCCTTAAACCCCAACATACACCCTTAAAACCTCAACATACACCCCTAAAACCCCCATCATACACCCTTAAACCTCAACTCACCATCCACTTGAGGCAGTTGAGGCACCCCATCTGCGCCGCCGCGTGCAAGGGTGCCATGCCGTCCTTGGCCCTGAGGTCGAGACGTCCGCCGGCACTCTCCACCAGGTACTGTAGGACGTCCAAGTGGCCCTCCTGAGCTGCCAGGTACACGGGGGTCACGCTGTTGTCCAT